AGGAGAGAAATGGTCAGTTGCTAGAGAGGAAAGTGAGATCAAGAGGTTTTACTTATGAACTTATGTTTAAGATGGAAAAAAATAGCAGCACGTCAGTAGGCTGGTGGAAATGATCTAGTAGAGAAGGAAACGTGATGACACAGGAGAAAGAGGGAGAGTTGCTGGGGCAACACCCTTAAACAGGCTGGAGGAGAGGCGACCGAGGCAAGCGCAGGACTGGGCTCAGCTGGGAGGCAGCCAGGCCACCCCAAGGAAGGGGGAGAGGGCAGCATGTATGGGCACAGACACTGGCACGTGGGTAGGTGTGGCAGTGGGACATTGTGGAATTTCTCTTCTGATTGCTTCAATTTTGTCAGGACAGATAGGAAACAAAAGTATGATAGATGGAGAAGTGTTGGAGATTTGAGAAGAGGAGAAGGGAGGAATTGTCTTCTAGGAGAGTGGGGAAGTGAGTGGACTAGAGACATGTGGCTCCCGTGAGCTTGGTCCTCATCACGTCAAAGGGAATCCAGCCATCCTGGAAGTGCAGGCACCCCGTAGTGGTTTAGCCAGGAGATGAGGGTTGTGCAGGGGAAGGAGATTACGGTTGGTCATGGAAGGTATGCTGGATACAAAGAGGGAAATGGACAAGGGGGAGGGTGTGAGAACAGGGGAGAGTTCACAGGATCGAGGGATCACAGGTCAGCAGGAGCGAATGGCTGCAGGAGTCAAGAAACTAGAGGGAGAAAAGAGACAGGAGGTAAGAGGAGAATGAAATGTGAAGCTAAGGTTGGTCTTTGTGTGCTCATCTTCATTTTGGAAGGAGGGAAGGTTGTGGTTCTGAACAGAACAACAATTCTAGGTCCTCTGTAATACTATCTTACTAGTCAAAATGGGACCACAGAGCCTAATGCCAATGCTCCTTCCAAGGTAGAGAAAAATTAAGCGATTTCAGCCTAGGTTTAACATTCAGCATACATTGTTGCAGGTCTGTGAAAATATGTAATTTATGTGTGGCTTATGAAAGAGACAAAACTTTGGAGAGGGCAAGGTAGAGAAAAATTAAGCGATTTCAGCCTAGGTTTAACATTCAGCATACATTGTTGCAGGTCTGTGAAAATATGTAATTTATGTGTGGCTTATGAAAGAGACAAAACTTTGGAGAGGGTAGGACAAAGTAGTCTGGTGGTGTAATAGCCTGGCGTCGATGAATAAAAAGGACATTCTAGACCCTCACAAATTGTCCACACAACAGCCACACAATTCTAATTCACACACATGGCCCTCCTGCCTCAAAGCTTCCAGCACCACCCATCATACCTAGAATTAAATTTACTTTCTTAGCCAGACCCATATTGCTCCCACATAGAGCCAATGCCTGCTGCCCCAGCCGGTCACACACCCGATCCCTTCCCTCTCCACCCTCCAGCCCATGGACCTTCTCTAGCCTCAACACAACACGATTTTTCCATCCCCTCCCCACATGCCTTTGTCCTTGCTGTTCCTTCTTCCTGGATTACTCTTCCTCCAGATTTTTTCAGACTTGATTCCCTCTCATTATTTACTTCTCATCTCACATGGCTCCCCTGCTTGCTGAGGCCTTCCCTGACCACCTTTTCCAAAATTTCTAAAACTAGTCACTGCCACACCACCTCCATTGGTTCCTCTGTAGCACTTACAGTTGGAAACTGTCTTGTCTTTTATTTACGTGACTATTGTCCTCCTCTCCTCACAAGGCAGGGTTTGGGGGGCACGGACAGGGACTGCGTGTGTCTTGTTGGCTGCTAGAACCCCTCTACCTAGAACAGCACCTGCCACATATTAGATGCTCCAAAAATATTTTTTGAATGAATGGAGGAGCCCAGGAATATCTGTTTTCAAAACATACTCATCAGCTAGGTATAAGAAGCAAGGTGTCTGGTGATCTTCCTGTGATTTTAAACTGAGGCTTTGAAAGATTCCATGACTTGTCCACAATCACACAGAAGAAAGTGGCAAAAGTGGAGCCAAGGTTGTGACTCTGCAGCCGTTGTTCTTGTTCCTCCTCAGGTGCCCTAAGGTGCCCTGAGTCAGCTGAGTGTGCATGAGAGTGCCCTAGAAAGGGGTTGAACTTGAGTTCTTATTTTGGCTTCTACATGAGACACCCAGATGCTGGGGTGATGAAAAAGGTGAGAGGACAAGAAGTTCACTGGGTTGATGCAAAGAGAAAGGTGGAGACAGACACTACTTGCCTGAAAGCCCCGCTGGAGCCATAGTATCTCTCGTGGCTGCTGGGAGCACACATGTGGGCTGGATTGCTGCTGCCACTGCACAGAGCACAGAGACGGGAATCAGGATTCGACCCAGGGGCACAGCTGCGACTGAAGAACTCATCTGTGAGGAAGGACAACTGGAGGTCAGCTCTTCCTTGCCTGTGTTAGCAAGAAAGCCTCAGATTTTGTCCTTAAAATTGCCAGAATGATGAAAAACACATTCCATTATTTAGCAACATGTCACTAAAAACAAGAACCTTGTGGAATTAAAAAACAGTTTAATCTACTTTTCTCCAGCTGGAGTTAAGTAGAGGGGAACTGACTCAAGTTGCATTGAGGATCTGTGAACTCCAGAAGTCCATCCCATCCTAGCACAGGGCAGAGGTGCCGAAGAGCAGACAGATTTCAACCCTAAGAGAGTGGACGAAATGAAAGTCCTGGCTGGTTGAACCCATACCACATGCTCTCTCATCTCTGCTGTCCTGGCTCTTCTTTACAAGGTTTGTCACCTTGACTTCAAGTCCAGGAAAGGCCTAGAGAAGTATGGCCACCTAGCTCTGCACTGGGCTCCAGGGCACCACGATGAGGAAACCAAGCACAGGCCGTGCCCTTGTGGAATCTGAAGCTCATGGAGTGACAGAGATCAAGTAACCACACCAGTGAATTCGTACTTCCCCCTTGCTCTGGGAAAGAAGACTATGATTCCATGAGGCTGCAGATAAAGGAGCCGTCTATAGACCTGGGAGTCAGGGAGAAGCCTCAAGAAAGAGACTAAGACTGAGTGGGAGCCACCCAAGTGATGGGTAGAAGGGAAGAGCCTTCCAGAGGGGGGTGGCACAAGCCTGTGTGGGTGGGGCGGGGGCAGGGCACAGAGAGCTTAATGGAGGCCACTGGGGCTGGACCACCGAGTGAAAGGCAGTGACTGCGTAGGGGGCAGGGTCCAGATCACATGCAACCTTTCACACATTTGTGTAGGTTTTGTTCTTTATCCTTAGAGAAATGGGGAGCCTCTGAAACTTCTAGACAATGCTAGACCAGGGGTAGTGGGTAGGATATAGTCAGATCAGCACTTTCCAAAGATTGGCCTGGCAGAGGGGTGGATGGAAACCAGGGCAATGTGGAGTTGAGGTGGCAGGCGATTGCAGTAGTCCAGGGGAGATGAGGGCAGCTTGGGCTAGAGTAGAGCAAAGGAGAGGGAAACAGGTGGAACAAGTGAAAGTGACATCACTGACGATGGATGGGTGTGTGCATAATGACAGCTAGGTTTCCAGCTGGGCAAAAGGATGGACTGTGGGGTTCTCCACCAAGCCACATAGTTCTGGAATAGGACCAGGCTCAGTAGGGATGGTGCATTCAGTTTTGGACAGGATGGGCTTAATGTGCTTTTGACATATTTGACTAGATACATCAAATAGGCAGTTCAATATATACACGTCTGAAGGTCAGGAGAGATCTGTGCGAGGGATAAGAACTTGAAAGTTATTGACACGCAGATATAATGTTAATAATAATGATAGCAGCCAACGTTTATCTAGTGCTTACTATGTGCCCAGCTCTGTATGGGTAACACTCCTTCAGATTGTAACTGAGACTGTAGGCGTGGATGTACGTGGTTGGCGATTGGGTTTAGGTTGGGAAAAAGTTGCTTTAAGCAACTCAAACATTTCTTAACCAGATTGGGAACCAGGGACCTTGTAGGCACAGGAGAAAAACCAAGCCAGTGTGTTTCCACAAAAGCCAGGAAATAGTGTGTTAAGACGATTTGAGGAAAAGCTGCCGAGAGGTCAGGAGGAAAGGACTGGAGCATGTCCCTTCAACTGAGCAACGTGGAGGCCACTGGTGGCCTTGACCAGAATTCTTCCTGTGGGTGATGCGGACAAGCCAGATGACAGGGAGTCGAGAGTGAGTGGGAGGTGAATGGTTCAGACAACGCTTGTAAGACTTCCAGCAGAAGACAGGGGGAGAAAGAGGGAGGGGGGATTTTTAAAGATGGAAGACATCAGGTGTGTTTATACGTTGAAAGAAATTGTTGGCTATACCANTGCCCAGCTCTGTATGGGTAACACTCCTTCAGATTGTAACTGAGACTGTAGGCGTGGATGTACGTGGTTGGCGATTGGGTTTAGGTTGGGAAAAAGTTGCTTTAAGCAACTCAAACATTTCTTAACCAGATTGGGAACCAGGGACCTTGTAGGCACAGGAGAAAAACCAAGCCAGTGTGTTTCCACAAAAGCCAGGAAATAGTGTGTTAAGATGATTTGAGGAAAAGCTGCCGAGAGGTCAGGAGGAAAGGACTGGAGCATGTCCCTTCAACTGAGCAACGTGGAGGCCACTGGTGGCCTTGACCAGAATTCTTCCTGTGGGTGATGCGGACAAGCCAGATGACAGGGAGTCGAGAGTGAGTGGGAGGTGAATGGTTCAGACAACGCTTGTAAGACTTCCAGCAGAAGACAGGGGGAGAAAGAGGGAGGGGGGATTTTTAAAGATGGAAGACATCAGGTGTGTTTATACGTTGAAAGAAATTGTTGGCTATACCAGAGGGAGAAGAAATAACTGAGGGTATGAGATTGTGGAGGGGAACAGGGGAGCGGCTGGCACGCCAGTGTAGGTCTAGGGATTGGCTGGGGACGGAGGAGGCTGGGGAGATGTGACATCAGGAGACCCACAGCTTTGGCAGGGGGTGTAGAGGGGGGTGGTTTCAATTGCCTCTTGCAGGTGCAGGTGAGATCATCTGTTGAGAAACATTGGTAGATGGTGGGGGTTTGAGGTGTGTGGACAAAGAGGACATTGGGATGATTATTGGGAAGTGTTGGGGCAGAGCAGAGAAACAGCAGGGGCGCTCATACTGTTAGGATGCACTGAGGCCAGCAGCCAGAGCATTTCCAGTGAGTTGAACCGCTCTACCACCCTGCGATTTTCTCCCAGCATGTTCAGCTGCTCAGGTGCACAAGAGAGCAGGTAACAGGGTTCATGCATGGAGGTGGTTGGTCAAATAGCTGGGGAAAGCCAAGCAGCTCGCCTTTTAGGTGCTGGCAAAGTGCAGCTGAGGTGACTATATGAGAATCTAAGAGAGACAAGGATGAACGTGAAGATTCAGCACTCAAGAACTTACTGGTGGGAGAGTTTCAATGAAGAACATATTCAATTTGGTTTACATGTGAAAGCAATAGACACCCACACACGTGTGCACCAACACACACCCCATTCTTGCTTTGCAGCCCCAGGTGGTTTCACAATGGAGCTATTTCTCTGAGATCTGTCCTCTGGGTCAGGGCACTCCCCTCAGAAGCAATGAGGTGATGAGAAAGGAGAGGACCTGTTCCAAGAGACGTGAGTCTCGCCCGCAATTCTGGTCAGGCTCTTGGCCCCACCTCCCACTATGGCATTATTTGTCATTCACCGAACTAAATTTCTCCCCTACCTAGGCACAGGCACAAAGCAGGGACTGCCACAACATCTCCCAGAACACACTCACCAAATCGACAGGACCCAGTTTGGTTGTATATTAAACCCATGGGGATGTTCCAGCCTGCAGAGGTGCCCACTGCAGTGTGGCAGGACTTCTTGCCTCGCAGAGAGTTCCAGGTGATATCAGCATCTGTTCTCTTCACCACAGCCACGACGTAATATCCTTGCAATAGAGATACCAAGATGCAATTTCTCCTTTTTCAGGGGGTTGTGGATGGGGGATAAAAGTGAGATCTGACCAGCCCTCCTTCACCAGGCCATTTAATAGCATATCTGTGTGGTGGATAATGTAAACTGGTATTCTTTATCTCCATTCTATCCCCCTTCCAGCTGGAGATATGGAAATGACACCTCCCATGCTCTCCTGCGGCTATGTTCTTAGCGTAACTTAGGATGTGTGAGATTTGGAAAGTGGAAGTGATATAGGGGCCCTCTGCCTTCCCTTTCAGCTCTTCCTGCTAGGAAACAAAGTCCCGGAATCCTTAGGCTTTTCTGTTCAGTTCTCCAATATCCCTTCACCACCCTAGGGGATTAGAGGCTATTACAGCAGCTGCAGCAGCAACAGCTACTATCAGTGCCAGCTTTCTATCCCTGGATCCCTGCTACAGGGTGTGTCTGGAACTCAGTGTACTAGTGGAGGCCTTGGAAGTCGTGGCTCTCCTAGGCAGCCAGTTCTCTTTCGTTCCTGCTGGGAGTCATTCTGGGAACCTAGTGTCCACTTTTTGTTAACATTTAATTTCCTGTATTAAATCCCTTCTTGCTTAAAATAGTGCTTCATTTCTTCACTGCTCCCTCACTGATGCACTCCGTCTGTCCTTTCAAGCAACAAGCAAGGCCGTCTCAGAGAAGACTCAGCAGGCTGCAAGCTTGCTCTTTCAGAAAACAAAATTGTACATATATTTATATATGTCATACTTATATACTATATATTTATAGTACCTATATCTATACACACATATAAGTATACATATTTATAAGTATATTATATATTAGTGGAGGGAAGCCAAGATACAATTTCAATATCTCCAGGTCTGAAAGGAGCTGCCAGCCCCTGCCTGCCCTCTTCTCGGGGAGGGGAAACATCTTGAACCCTTCAGCTCGCTCTAGCAGAGGACCCTCCCCATAGCTATCATTATTAGGTACTGGGCCAAACAGACTTACACTACTGCTCCTCAGACATGTCCACACCCACGTGTATTTACACACACACTGTGCTTTTTCAATGGAATCCTGCTATGCATTCTTTTCTGTGAGTTGCTTTATTGCTCCTCAATAGTGTATTGTGGACACCTTTTTGGTTCAGTAGAAATAGATATAGCTGGCTCTTCCTTTCTAACTTGGGCCCAGCAGAATGGCTCCTGCAAAGAAGGGCGGTGATAAGAAGGGCCGTTCTGCCATCAATGAGGCGGTGACCCAAGAATACACCATTAGCATTCACAAGAGTATCCATGGAGTGGGTTTCAAGAACCCACTCTCGGGCACTCAGAGAGATCCAGAAACTTGTCATAAAGGAGATGGAAACTCCAGATGTGTGCATTGATACCAGGCTTAACAAAGCTGTCTGGGCCAAAAGAACAAGGAATGTCCCATACCATGTCCTTGTGCGATTGTCCAGAAAATATAATGAGGATGAAGATTCACCAAACAAGCTGTATATTTTGGTTACCTATGTACCTGTTACCACTTTCAAAAATCTGCAGACAGTCACTGTGGATAAGAACTAACAGCTGATTGTCAAAGTTATATAACTGCGAAAAAGAAAAAAGAAAAGAAATAGATACAGCTTTCTCACTCTGTTATTAGTTGAATCTATTTCTAGGATGATTCATACTTTATAATACCCTACTGGTGGGCATTTACATGAGGGGGAGATAGAGAGAGAGGGAGAGAGGGAGGGAGGAAGGGAAGGAGGGAGAGAGAGAGGGGGAGAGAGAGAGAGAGAGAGAGAGAGAGAGAAGGTGCCAGGGTCTTTTAAACAACCAGCTCTCACAGGAACTAACAGAGCGAGAACTCACTCATTAATCCCCCCTCCCCCAGGGAGAGCATTAATCCATTCATGAGGGATCCGCCCCCATGACTCAATCAGTTTCCAGCACTGCCACATTGAGGATCAGATTTCCACATGAGTTTTGGAGGGGACAACACACCCAAACTCCATCAACATATGAGTGTCTACTTGTTTAAATATTTCTGTTAAATAGGAGTTCAGAATTAAGAGTTTTAATGGTTTTCTAGGTTTACAATAGTATCCTTTTGAATCATGACAATTTAACCTCTCTTCCCTTCCCCCATATTAAATTAAAACAGCTCTTTTTCTTATCTTACTGCATTTATTTCCAATATAATACCAAATATCTTTGATGGGAGTGGGCATTCTTGCCTTGCTCCTGATTCTAATGAGAGCACCATTAATATTTCATTTATTCTTACCCCAATATTACATAATTGAATTGTGCTTGTTGAGTAAGGCCTGAACTGCAAACTGGAATTGAAAATAAGATTAGAATCATACATCTTTAGATGTATGATTAGAAGATAATGTGGCTCACCATCACTACCACCACCATGTGTGCGCGTGTGTGCGCACACACACACACACACACACTCCTTTTCTTGATGGCATAAATCAGGTCTCTACATATGTAAGCTTGGAAAAGTTAAGACCTGCCTTGCCCGTTCCCTCCTAAATGACCTCAGACAAGTCACTTAATCTAGGAGCCTAAATGTCTCCTCAGTAAAATGGTGACAGTGAAACCCATCTCAGCAGGAGACTGAGGGGGATCAGATGTGCTAATAGGAGCATAATGTAGGTTAGGAATGGGAAAAGTAGATCACACAGGTAGGTTTCCAGCTGCGCTGCTAGTGCAGAAGCAGCACTGAGCCCCTCTTGGTGAAGCAGGTTCTCCTTAGGCCACAGCAGGCCCTTGCCTACCTGACTGCTCTCTAAGACACAAGTCCTGTAGCCAAATGCTGTTGTAGTAACTTCCTTCAGATCTAACTATTTCTGCACTTGTGGCATTGATTATTGTCACCCATCTTTGCATGCCAGTGTGTGTGTGAGAGACAACCTTTGTGGCTAACCATCTCCATCTCTACCCAGATGGAGCCTTCTCCATCACAGTCAGCCACCCTGTCAGTGTCTGAACTGTCTTCTAAACATCCTTTTTGACCTACATTTGCATATCACTGTAGTTCCTGGAAATTTCAGCTACTCTTGAAGCAGTCAGTGTTGTTTCTGACTATAAATGATCAGAATTGAGTACATGGCTGATGAGAGGCTGGCCCTTAGGACTGGGGATGAAGAAGACACAATTCACAGAAGACTTCTTAGCCATGAAAGTAGAGAGGGGCTCAGTACAGCGTATCCCAGGGTGTGGGTCCTGTCAAACAGGAAGGGACGCTGCAGCAGGCGAGCAGGGAAGTGATCCCTGAACTTGGCACTCTGGAGCGCTCCATGGAAGACGAGCGGGGCAGGACCTCTGTGACCCAGTGCTGGGGGTGGGGGGACAGAGACCAGAGGATGCCTCTCATGCTGTGGTGCTCCAAACCCCTTCCTTCCCCCAGCTCTCCTGCCTCACAAGACACTCTAAACCCAAGTAAACACCTGTTTTTCAGCTGGGATCCTATCACATTGGTTTTCCAAACTTAATGTGCATTCAATCTGTTAAAATACCGATTGCTAGCCCTATCCTTTGAGTGTCTGACTCAGTAGGTCCAGGATGGGGCCCAAGAATTTTCATTTCCAACAAATTCCCAGGTGCTGCTACTGCTGCTGCTGGTTGAGACCACACCTGGGAATCACGGCTCTATCTATTTTCCTAAACTGGGTATTCAGGGACAGATTCAGAGCCTCTCTGCCTATCTGGAGACACAAAATGAGAGACCTACTGGTGTTCTCCTATTCTGAAGACAGGTCAACTCGCCTTCTAGGAAGTGCAGTGGGCTGCAAGCTAAATGATAGATTTTATTTTCCTCCTCTTTTCATTAGCAGCATCTATGAATCTCCTCCCCTTATGAGGCCTTGTACTCAGCCCCCAAAGTGCCAGGAATGGGCTCATGCCCCAGTGCTGACCTTCACCCAGAGACAGCCAGGCAGCATGTGATAAGGAGCAGTGGGCTGTGTCAGGAGGGGCTTGGGGTTTCCAGTCACTCCACCTGTCCTGAAGCCCAGGTGCAGCCACCTCCTGGCTGTGTGGCCCTGGACAAGTCACAAAGTCCCTGAGCCTCACTTTCCCCATCTACATAACATGGGTCAGTGATACCCAAATATTGTGGGGTTGTTGAAGAGTAAACAGGAATAGTGCAAACAGGAGTCCTTTGTCAACTGTAAAGTACCTNCCCCATGACTCAATCAGTTTCCAGCACTGCCACATTGAGGATCAGATTTCCACATGAGTTTTGGAGGGGACAACACACCCAAACTCCATCAACATATGAGTGTCTACTTGTTTAAATATTTCTGTTAAATAGGAGTTCAGAATTAAGAGTTTTAATGGTTTTCTAGGTTTACAATAGTATCCTTTTGAATCATGACAATTTAACCTCTCTTCCCTTCCCCCATATTAAATTAAAACAGCTCTTTTTCTTATCTTACTGCATTTATTTCCAATATAATACCAAATATCTTTGATGGGAGTGGGCATTCTTGCCTTGCTCCTGATTCTAATGAGAGCACCATTAATATTTCATTTATTCTTACCCCAATATTACATAATTGAATTGTGCTTGTTGAGTAAGGCCTGAACTGCAAACTGGAATTGAAAATAAGATTAGAATCATACATCTTTAGATGTATGATTAGAAGATAATGTGGCTCACCATCACTACCACCACCATGTGTGCGCGTGTGTGCGCACAATCTTTAGATGTATGATTAGAAGATAATGTGGCTCACCATCACTACCACCACCATGTGTGCGTGTGTGCGCGCGCACACACACACACACACTCCTTTTCTTGATGGCATAAATCAGGTCTCTACATATGTAAGCTTGGAAAAGTTAAGACCTGCCTTGCCCGTTCCCTCCTAAATGACCTCAGACAAGTCACTTAATCTAGGAGCCTAAATGTCTCCTCAGTAAAATGGTGACAGTGAAACCCATCTCAGCAGGAGACTGAGGGGGATCAGATGTGCTAATAGGAGCATAATGTAGGTTAGGAATGGGAAAAGTAGATCACACAGGTAGGTTTCCAGCTGCGCTGCTAGTGCAGAAGCAGCACTGAGCCCCTCTTGGTGAAGCAGGTTCTCCTTAGGCCACAGCAGGCCCTTGCCTACCTGACTGCTCTCTAAGACACAAGTCCTGTAGCCAAATGCTGTTGTAGTAACTTCCTTCAGATCTAACTATTTCTGCACTTGTGGCATTGATTATTGTCACCCATCTTTGCATGCCAGTGTGTGTGTGAGAGACAACCTTTGTGGCTAACCATCTCCATCTCTACCCAGATGGAGCCTTCTCCATCACAGTCAGCCACCCTGTCAGTGTCTGAACTGTCTTCTAAACATCCTTTTTGACCTACATTTGCATATCACTGTAGTTCCTGGAAATTTCAGCTACTCTTGAAGCAGTCAGTGTTGTTTCTGACTATAAATGATCAGAATTGAGTACATGGCTGATGAGAGGCTGGCCCTTAGGACTGGGGATGAAGAAGACACAATTCACAGAAGACTTCTTAGCCATGAAAGTAGAGAGGGGCTCAGTACAGCGTATCCCAGGGTGTGGGTCCTGTCAAACAGGAAGGGACGCTGCAGCAGGCGAGCAGGGAAGTGATCCCTGAACTTGGCACTCTGGAGCGCTCCATGGAAGACGAGCGGGGCAGGACCTCTGTGACCCAGTGCTGGGGGTGGGGGGACAGAGACCAGAGGATGCCTCTCATGCTGTGGTGCTCCAAACCCCTTCCTTCCCCCAGCTCTCCTGCCTCACAAGACACTCTAAACCCAAGTAAACACCTGTTTTTCAGCTGGGATCCTATCACATTGGTTTTCCAAACTTAATGTGCATTCAATCTGTTAAAATACCGATTGCTAGCCCTATCCTTTGAGTGTCTGACTCAGTAGGTCCAGGATGGGGCCCAAGAATTTTCATTTCCAACAAATTCCCAGGTGCTGCTACTGCTGCTGCTGGTTGAGACCACACCTGGGAATCACGGCTCTATCTATTTTCCTAAACTGGGTATTCAGGGACAGATTCAGAGCCTCTCTGCCTATCTGGAGACACAAAATGAGAGACCTACTGGTGTTCTCCTATTCTGAAGACAGGTCAACTCGCCTTCTAGGAAGTGCAGTGGGCTGCAAGCTAAATGATAGATTTTATTTTCCTCCTCTTTTCATTAGCAGCATCTATGAATCTCCTCCCCTTATGAGGCCTTGTACTCAGCCCCCAAAGTGCCAGGAATGGGCTCATGCCCCAGTGCTGACCTTCACCCAGAGACAGCCAGGCAGCATGTGATAAGGAGCAGTGGGCTGTGTCAGGAGGGGCTTGGGGTTTCCAGTCACTCCACCTGTCCTAAGTGCCAGGAATGGGCTCATGCCCCAGTGCTGACCTTCACCCAGAGACAGCCAGGCAGCATTTGATAAGGAGCAGTGGGCTGTGTCAGGAGGGGCTTGGGGTTTCCAGTCACTCCACCTGTCCGGAAGCCCAGGTGCAGCCACCTCCTGGCTGTGTGGCCCTGGACAAGTCACAAAGTCCCTGAGCCTCACTTTCCCCATCTACATAACATGGGTCAGTGATACCCAAATATTGTGGGGTTGTTGAAGAGTAAACAGGAATAGTGCAAACAGGAGTCCTTTGTCAACTGTAAAGTACCTCTGAGCCTCACTTTCCCCATCTACATAACATGGGTCAGTGATACCCAAATATTGTGGGGTTGCTGAAGAGTAAACAGGAATAGTGCAAACAGGAGTCCTTTGTCAACTGTAAAGTACCCTACAAATATTAATATCACAGGACAGATTTGTATCTTAATTAACTGTGGCTTCTCTTCTTTCCCCCAGATCCAGCAATTTTTGTTTGTTTGCTTATACGTTTCCTCCCTGTCTCCCCAACAGCAGGCCGTTGCCTGTGAGCTCCAGAGTTACTGATTCTGACTCACCTTCCATGGGTGTATTCACACACTTAGACCCCAGCTTCTCATTGCCATGTTTAGGCTCTAAAAAGAAAAATAAAAACAATCAAGGTACATGGCATTAAACTCTCACATGACTCAATTCAAAGCCATTTTCTCAGTCTCAGTAGTCGAGAATAAAATGAGAAGCACTAACTAAGCAGATGATCATTGGTTATCAACGTGCTGAGGCTCTGCAGGTCTGTTTTACCCCTTCTCCCTCTGCTCTGTGCCATTTGAACATTGAGCCCCAGCCCAGAACCTCCCAGATACTCAGGCAGATGCAGATGCAGAAAAGGAGCTGCCCACTGAAGGGGGGAGAAGAGTCATTGCAGATTTTGGCAAAGATCCCTTTGTATAGCTGTGCATGTCATCCTGACATCTTTCTTCCTTCAGAGTCCTAGACTGTGGTAGGCAATCATCACATTCTTGCTAGGTTGGGGGAAAAGATCCCAGCCCATGGAGTCAGAAAGATCTAGATGCAGTCTTTGTTCTACCTTGGACACATCATTTAACTTTTCTAAGCCTCAGTTTTTACATCTGTAGAAATGGAGATACCACTATGTACCCCACAGAGTTGCTTTGTTTTGAAGGATAATGTAGCAGCTGAGGTATAATTAATGGTATTAGGGGAATCCTCTTTTCCCTCTGGCTTTAGTTTTCCATATGAATGGAGCCCTATTAAAGAACAGGACTTTGCAGCCCCAACCCCTTAACCACCCAGAGCAGCTGGAGTGAGTAAATGACTAGCAAATTTGGCAAAAGGACCTAAGGACACGTGGCTCAGCCCTTTCACTCTCTATTGAAGAGAATGAAGAGAGGTGGTTTAGATCTCGCCTACAATAAAATGTCTCCCTGTGCCCTCAGCCATGGGGTGAGCCAATAGACTGTTCTCCTGAGTTAGTGGGCAGCTCCAACACAGCATTTGGTAAGCCCTGTGCCAGCTCTCCACCATGCCTCCAATATCACCATATCAGTTTAAAGGTACTAGTTCGATCTCTTTCTGCCTAACTCTTGAGTTTACATCTTAACAGGTTCTGACTCTGGGAACGGGGATTTTATCTACTAGCTCTCTACACTGTAACGATAGTTATTATTATCTCAACACTGGGAGAAATTGTTTCCTCATCTTTCTATGCCCACAGCTCTGGAGGAAAGAAAACACAGAGACCTGCTCCCTTCCACTTACCATAGTTCTCTGCCAGAACAGGCACCAGACCACACTTGCCCGCCGTGTAGATGAATCCTCCATCCAAGCTCATGGCGTCAGCTTCTCCTTTCTGAAGTTAAAAAGCCAATCGGTAGCACAACAGTGAGACTGTCTCCTGACCCCCTGACCCTCAGAGATTTCTGTCTCATTGGCTTCGTATCACACGTACTTGTGATTAACCAAATTGTAAATCACCCAAGTCTTCTGCCATGTAAACATGGGGTCCAGAAAACTAAACATGCCTTTAGCCTATTGACCCAGGAACAAGTACCCAACCCAGGTCATGCTCCCCGGACATCTCTGTGTCCTCTCATGAGACCCACGCTGAGTCCTGGACATGCGCTCACCACAGCTTCTTTGTGACCACTGTCAGTCAATTCAACGATCCACATGGCCACACTCAGAAAATGTCATGAATCTGTTTCTATGGGACAAGTATTCTTTCAAACTATGCAGTTCAAATCTGTTTCCATAATCCCATTAGTACTGTACTCAGAGCCCCAGCACAACAAATATTTTCGATAAATAATTTATCTAATTAAATAATTCATTAATAATTAATGTATTATTTTAATTAGTTTTTCTAACTGCAGAGCACAAAATGTATGCTTACAGTCACAGATAAAGTCATTGAGCTTTTGACCTGTTAACTACCCTCCTAGAAATCTAAAAAACAGTAACTGTTAGCAAAAACTTACCAAACCCTTACTACGTGCCAGGCTCTTTTCTAAACACTTTACAGTGATTACCTCATGTATCCCTTGCAAACTCCAATAAGGTGGGTACTATAATTTCCCCTCTTTTATAGATTAGGAAACTGAAGCAGAGAGAAGTTAAATATTTGTTCCATAGAAAGACATTAGGATGTAAACTTAGGCAGATTAATTCCTTAGCTTCTGCTCGAAACCGCTATCCAACATGGCCTCCGGAATCTGACTACTCCAGAGCATATGTCCCTAAATACTATACTATATACCTTTTTTATCCATAAAGTGGGTGAAAAATATACTTCATAGGCTCATCACAAATATTAAATGAGTTAATGCAAGTTAAGAGCTCATAAACTTGCTTGGCACATAGTAACTCCAGAAATACTAGCCATCATTAATGTTAAAGATATACTCAGAAAAACTGAGTTATAAAAACAAAGACTTTCAATCCCACATTATCTATATAGCAAAGACTTTGGAAATAACTCAAATGTAAACATTTAGAAATTGGTTAAATAAACGGAGGCAGAAATACTTGTGGAATATTATGCAGCCATTAAAACCCTGTTTTAAATGAATATTTCATTACCTAAGAAAGTGCACCAACTTAAGTCTTAAGACTTTAAGTGATAATAACCATAGCCGACACTTATTGACTGCTTACTATGTACCAGGCAGTGTTATGAGCACTCAAATTCATTTAATCTTTACAACTGAGAAATTCAGGAGACTGAATAACTAGCAAGTTCTTAATCTTATGGGTTGGTGCCAGGGAGGTTTACCAAAATTAGAACCCTCTCAAGAAAGGCTATTGTATGGTTTCCGAAGTTTGTCAGTTTTGTAGTCTTTTATTTACAAATATATTTTTTCCTAATCACTAAAATATTATCTGCTCATAGAAAAATGGAAAGTTAATAACAACACAGTTTTATCACTCAGAAATTATGTGGTGACGATCTCTGAGTGATGAAGTTGTGAATGATTTATTTTTCGTTTCTCTACCAGCATGTAATATTTTTATCATCAGAAAAAAAATAACCTTACAACTAACGGACTGAAAAGGTTGATCAGCATTCACCATCCAGAGTGACCCTGATCACCCCCTGGAATGTCACCCCACTTCCCATGGCTCCTAGGCAGGACACTCCTCTGAACTTTCTGGACTCCAGAGATGAGCCCCCAAGGAGTCCAGGTCTTGGGCTAGCTCTATGTTTCTGTCTGGCCCTGAGCTGGAGGTGCCCGTGTGGCAGATAGGGGCAGCACACAACAAATGTATCTTAGCATGGAGGCTGACGAGGAGGCATCTGGGAAGGGGTCTTCAATGCTAGACTCGGCAGAGCACTGTGGTCTGAGTGCCCGAGCCAGCCATGGAGGTGGGGCCCTCCTACCGTGATGGCGGCGATGCAGTCCTGGGGAGTCTCCTCCGTGGTGCACTTCAAGGCACCACCACTCACTGCACTCCACTGGTCACACTTGGCCCTCTCCTGGTGGCCCACTGCACACCACTTCACCCTCTGGGAGTCTTCCACACCTAGGACAGGTGGAGAAGAGCCAGGGATCTAAAGGAAGCCCCAGGTGGGTCTGGGGCTTTAGTGCCACTAGCTGCAGAGTGGCTGCCCAACGGGGCCCTCAGTGACAGCAGCAGAGTTATGTGTCTCATTCTCATGACACTGCCCATTCCTCCCTGTCATCCTCCAGGAGAAGTGGGGAGCTCGGTTCTCAGAAAGAGCAGTGAAGGTGCGCTCGTCCCCTCCCTCTGACCTCATGTCTGCAGGCCTCACCTCCCCTGGCAGGCCTTGCTCAGCCCCACCCCAGCTCAGAGTCATCGGGGGCTCTCTCTGGCAGGCCTGTGCTCCCCATCCGGGGGTGTGCCCCAGCTGGTAGCCACATGCTCTGTTACAGGGGGGCCTGCTCACTCTCCCCACACCCACGCCTAATACAGAGCTGCCCTTTTGTAGATGCTCAGGAACTACTGGGTGATTAAATGGAGGGGGAAAAACAGAGAAGGAAGAAATGAACTGTAGGGACCCAACGGAAGGCAGCAGCCAGA